CCCATTCAGCAGATCCGCAGTCTTTTGGAGACCTTGGGTTAAAGCCAGAGGCGAGAAAGAGGAAGGAACACTGCATTATGCAGCGGAGACGGTGAGTGAACCCTGGGTGGCGGGTTGCCCCTCCTAGGATGCAGAGACGGGGTTGGAGACGTAGGAGCTGAAGGACACCTGTCCTCCGTCTGCACCCTCGCTTAAGATTGTGCCTGCCTGTGGCCCAGCCAATGTTGAGGAAGGCGAGTGTATTCTCCAGTGTCTGGCCACAGGGATCCTGCCAGAAGCCTGGCTGCTGAGAAGCTGGGGGTGGGGTGGGGGGGGTCACATTTCCTGCAAGCTTGAGAGACTCTGTGGCGTGCCCATTTCCATTTTTGAGATGGAGGTGGGTGGTAACTGCGAATCATCTCCTTTTGTCCCCAGATACCCAATGGTCCAGGAATGATTCAAGCCTCAGGAAAGCTTTTCCAGTACACACACCCAGTCAGGTAAGTGACAGGCCCTACTGAAGATTTCCTGCTTYTCCATCCCCAAGAAGAGGCTGGAGGCTTCACGCAGCTCAGCTAGGCAGCTGATCCTGTAGTTTTTCTTTCTTGGAAAATCTATCTTTAAGGTTACTCTGTTCATCCCACTCGCAGAGGTGGGTTACTCATCTAACTGAAAAATGTAGGAGTGCTCGCCCCCACCTGAAAGAACAGTTAAATCGGTGCATACTCAGTAAATGCTTAAGGAATATGTTAGAAAAAGACAACATGTATTGTATAGGAAAAGTAGAATGGTGACATCTTGTGCCTAAAAATGGTTTTCGCTTTTGTTTTGTTTGTAATCCCAAAGGGTTGGAATGAAATTGACTTCATACCAGACAGAAGTGAGTGGTAGGTTATTCTCTTGCAAACCAGAAGCAAGAATGGAGTTAATGATTGCAATTTCACAGAAAATCAAGCTTGACACATGAGAGAAAATGAAAATGTAACAAAAAATCCTAAAGATTACTAAGGGTGATCCTAAAAGAGCTTAAAAGTTATTTAACATAACAAGGAGAAACTATTTACTATTTCTTGCCCCTGGAAGTGGGCCTTTTTGTAAGATTCTTTGTAGCTCTTATTCAGACTAAAGGTTAATAATTATGCCATTTTCCTGTGTCTGAGAGCTGTTAAAAGAGCTGTATGATGTTTGTAAAGGATGTATGTGTTTATAGATAGCACATAATAATTAATACATGCTGATTAATTTTCTACCATGTGCTAGCAGTTGTTGAAGAACATAGGAAAAAATGACAGCACCTTGTAAACGTCCTAATGGAGTTTATTTTGGTCAGTTTTACAGGTGCGAAGAGGGCATGAAGTGCCTAAGTGAGGCTCAGGGAGGTGTGCATCACAGGTTGTGACTGCCTGAAGTCTTGAAGAAGTTAACCAGATGGATGGGGAGGTGGGGGCAGAATGGAATTTGGGTGTGTGAAGCTGTGGTCATTCCAGCAGGGTAGCCAGAGGCCAGAGCTTGTACACCTTGATACAGAGCTTTGTTAAGATCTCATAGGTTTACTCTATAGATGAATTTGCTTATTACTCAAGTGATTTAACCATAGAGTGGTGTGGTCAGATTTATGTTTCCAAAAAAAATCACTAAGGAAATTATATATAATTTAGAATACCAAAAGGAATTGGAAGCTATTGAAATTGTTCAGGTAAGAAATGATGATAAGCTTTTCTAAGAAATTGGAAGTGAGGATGGGTCTGGGTGAATTTGGAAAATACTTAGGTGACAAAGTTTGGCTTTAAGATATATTGGATATGATAGGTGAAGCAGTGGTAAAAAGCCAAAATTCCTCCCAAGTTTCTGATGACAAGGTGAGTCTTGCACTAAGAAAAAAAAAAAAAAGAAAGAAAGAAGAAATAAATTAGTGCTTAGAACAGATTTGGAGTGCAAGGTAATGCATCCAACTTTCCGTTTGTCATATTTAAATGCTTATGGGGCAATAAAATAGAGATATCAGGTAGAGAGCTACATACATRTTAAAATCTTAAGTACAAGCTTGGGAGTCTATGGTAAATCGAGGGTTGGGGAACTCATGACAGTGAATACTCAGCTCATCCTGGGTAATCGAGAGGTAGGAACTGATCATTCTCAACGAAGCTTTGGGGGAAGGCCTGTATCTCACCAGTATATAGAGAAAGAGAAGTCCACAAAGGAGTCAGAAGAATCAGAAGAGGGAGTAATTCAATAAAATATGGAGTCTCTGGAAGAAAAATAGTCCACAGTGGGAAATTCTGGACAGAGTATGATGATAACAACTAACCAGCATTTGTTGGGTTTGGAAAATCCAATTAAATATTAGAAAGTAAACTGTTATCTTCATAAGCAATTACTTTCTTTTCTGAACTACTATTACAATTTAATTGTGCTTCTCTTAAGTTTATTTTATTTTTATTAATTTATATCTTGAGTACTATTTATCTTTTCACTCAATTGCAAATTCCTGAGAGTAGAGGGTCATGATTTATTCATCTTTGATATATGAATTATGTTGGCATTTTAAGGAATCACCCCAATATTTATTGAATGAATAACCCATAGTTACATATTTAAGCATCAAAATTATAAACTTTAAAAATGTTTTGCTAGAAACATATATAAACATCATTGTCTTTTTTCCCACAATTTAAAATTGAGAATACTGAATATAATATAATTCTTTGTTTTTTAGAATCACTCAGTTATACACAGAGCTATTCATCGTAAACTAAAATAACTGTGCTCTAGTCAGTAATTCAGCCTTATCTCTTCTCCTTTTATGCTTGGATAAAACACAATAGAAAGCCAAGTGGCAATATTAACACTTGCCAGATATTAAAAATTCTGAGATAATCGTGCTTACAGGCAAATTATTTGTTTGAAACCTATATAATTTCTCAATATCTCAGTATAGTGTTCCAAATTGATTGGGAAATGAGAAGAGATGGTTTCAAGACTGTGTCAAAGGTAGCCTTTCTATGTCTCAAGTTGTGAATGCATAGACCAACTTTTAAAAATATTGGTTTTGGTACTTTATAAATGTGTATTGGCTACATCTATTACTAATAGTTAAACCTGTGAGTTTTAAACAATGCAGTAGATGATGGACACCTTGCTTAGGGTGCATAATATTTGTCATTTTTATAAAGTTGATTATCACTGGAATTGGTATCGTAGTGGTAGAATTCATTTTTTTCCCCTTAAGGAATGTAGAAACTAGAAGTAAGCTAAATATTGATTTTATGCTTATGCAGGGTTTACATAAATTTGTTTGATCTAATTTATAGTTTGGATAGATATTTAAAATAAATAGCCATTAATTATTGGCAAATAGACTCTATGAAAACTGTGATAGTAGCATTTTAAAACTATCTTAAGGCTGTACCTAAATGCATACATCTATTGCAAAGGGTATAGCGCTCTTGAAATCTGGTGTTTTCATAAGTATGAGGATTCTGAATGTGAACAAAATAAAGCATACTATGTTGTCTGCTTCTTTCAGGCTATTTTGGCCAAAATCAAAGTGTTATGATTACTTATATCAAGAAGCAGAAGCTCTTCTGAAAATTTTTCCAATTCAAGCTACAATTTCATTTTATGAAGATTCCGATAGTGAAGATGAAATTGAGCAGCTGACCTGTGAAAATTAATCTAATTAGTTACTTCTGATGATATTCAAAGCTCATGGGCTTTGGTGTATAAATGTATCATAATCTTTTAAACTAATTTATTTGTATATAATTTATTAATAAAAGGAAATATTATATAAATACTATGGTAGTATTGACTTTTTTATCCCTTCATTAGAATTAAATGTTGAAATTTAAAATAAATGCCATTTACAAATGTCTTGATTATATTATAACTATTTGGGGCTTACAGAGATACTTTCAGTCTTTTCATTAAATTACACATTTACCTGTATATATAATTTTGCAAAGAATGACAATATTTAATCTCTGAATACTAGATGTTGTAACATCTAGTATTTTGTACTGACCTCACTGGGATGTTGTAATTACAGACAACATTCTTTTATTAGATAATGAAGAATATCACTTTGTTACCAAGCACACATTTATTATTATGTGTCTGCTAGCAGATAGTGAAAAATACTTTAAAATCATTATTCTATAATTGGAAAGGAAGTCAGTAGTAGGGCTCTGAAACTTTTAGGAATTATAAAGAAATAATGATAATAATTCTCGTCCKCTCTTCTTAAATCTAGTAATAAAATAGTGTGGGGTATCCAATATTTATTGTACTACATTTCATGTAAATCACTCCCATTTAAACAATAATTTAAACATTATTGTTTAAATGGGAGTGATTTACATGAAACCTAAAAGAGAGAAGACTAAAGAACAGAATGGAAAAATATTGATCCTTTTTTGTCCAAAGGGGAGCTATTTGGTAGAAACATTATTCATATTATCAATTTTCTTAATGAGAGAGAAAACAGGAGAAATTTGCCGGATTAAGGTAATATAGTAATCTGTGATCAAGAAGTCCTTTTTAGTTCATACCCAATCTCACAATAAACAATGTAATTACAAGTAAACATATCTCTGTAATATTCCAGGATGATAGAAGGTAAAGGCGAAGATCAGAGGTAGTTGTGAGATTCTCCTTACTGTACAGCCTGGTGTTTCACAGGAGAGAATTTCAAAGAAATCAGACTGCTGTAATAGTGTTATTTTAGTCCATATTTCAGGTAGTACAATCGTACCGCTTATCAACGAACAGACAGTGATGTTCTGGGTTAACAAGACTCTACAAGAATATATTCTCGGATTCSATCAGCACCAGGGCTGAGGAACAGCTTCACTCTCTGATCTTTCCGCGAAATAGCTGTCACCTCCATCCAGTGCTGAAGTTTAGTCGGCCGGACCCACTGAGCATGCGTACTTTCCCCCTCTTGCCGCCCCGCCGGCGCTCGCTCCATTGGCTCCGCCCTCCGCTAACGTTCTGCGTCATGGCGTGCTTCACCCCTGGAGACCCCGGAAGTGGGTCGGGGGCTCGGCCTCTGCCCGGCCGCAGAGCCGGAGCGGGAGAATCTGGTCTGAGAGGGGTCCAGCCGAATGAGCGACTCYGGGCAGAGCCCGGGCCAGGGATCCAGGATGCTAAACGTCCCTTCTCAGTCTTTCCCGGCCCCCAGCTCTCAGCAGCGCGTCGCTTCAGGGGGGCGTAGCAAGGTAAGCCAGTGACACTTGGTGGCGCCCAGAGCTCGCCTCCCGCCTGCGTTTCGCTCTTCATCTTCAGTACAGTCTGTTTTGCCCTCACCGCCTGTCCGCCTCTGGAGCCTTCGTTCCCTTCAGCCCTTGCTGGTCTTCAGTCCTGGAACTCTCCTTCCCTTCCTCTCACCTGCTAGCCCTTCTTTCCCGCTGTTAGTCCCCTTCCTTTAGGTCCTTTCCCCCGGAATTTCAGATCTCTGGGACAGGACCGCTCACCATGCTTGCCTTATTTTGGGTACTTAATATTGTCTTCCCTCTCTTCAACCTGTCCTCTCTGGTCTCTTCTTCACTGTCCGAAGGAGTTATGAGTGTTGTGGGTTCTCTTGCAGAAGGGAAGGACTGAACAGTGGCGACTAGAGACAGTCTGCAGCCGTGGGGATTTTTGGAGCTAGGGAATATTTGAGAAGCTAAGACAAATGTCCACAAACCTCCATTCAGGTTTATGGACACTTCTCTCCAAATCATACTGCCTTTCTCTCAGGTATCTGATTGTTTCAACATGACTTTTGTACTTCCTGACTTCGGAGCTAATGTAACTAATGCTAGAGTATTTGTTAAGCATAGTTACATTTAGCAACAGGTGGGATGCAAATACATTTTATATTTGCAAAATATAGTAAAAAGTGTGACCCCTGTTCACTTAAACCTGAATGCTGCTTGCTTCTCTTATTTGCTAATGCTTGGTTCTGTAGCCACTTCCTCATGTTTTGTTTTTGAGAATTCCAACTATTTAGGCTACTCCTTTTTCTTGTCATTTCTGGACTCTTGAGTCTTAGCATCATTTAGGACTTTCTCCGACTTTCCTTATTTTTTTCTAGTTAGACCTGAAATTCTGATTTTAGACTAAAACATGGGTTCAGGAATCTGTATTTTTTCACGTGCTTCTCAGAGGTCTGTATCCTCAATTATAATACCAATACTGAGATTTATTAAATGCTTCATGGCCATATATGTTTTGAGTGTTTTCCCTCTATTACCTTGTTTAATCTTCATAATGACCCTTGAAATGGAAGCTTTCAGTATTTACATTTCACAGAAAGGAAACTGGTTAAGAAATGTTGCCTTGGAGCATATAGTCTTGTGATGTGATTCTGTCTGTGATATTTCATTTATTGCTCTGTACTTCTATTTACAGCCACCCAATCATGTGTCCTTTCCTCCCTTGACCTCTTTCTCTCCTTAAACTAAATACTCACTGGATTATAGTGTAGCCTTTCCAGAATTAGATTATGAGTTGTGGCCCCTCTCCACTAAAATCTCCATCCTTGTTCTCAACATCCATCTAAAGGAAAAGCTTAGAGGCAAAGACAAAAAGTTACACAGATGGTGATGGCAAATGTGAGTCTTTGAATCCATAAAGAAAACAAATAATATTATTGTACAATTAAAAAGAAATTAAGATTCTTTCTTTTCTTTCTTTTTTTTTTTTTTTTTGGTGTGTGTGTGAAACAAGATAATCTTGACCATATTGGAAACTGACTTTGGATGAAACAAATACAGATTGAGGAAAATGAAACCTAGTTGGTGACGTTATATATCATAATTGTTAAAAGCATAGACTTTGAAGTGAGAAAGACACGGATTCTTTTCCCAAATCCATCACTTAAACTCTGAATTTGTTTCCTTGGGTATAACTGAAAATAACCAATTTTATCGTATTATTCATAGGATTAAGTAAGAATGTTTTTCTTAGCACAGCTTTGGTAAGCACTCAGTAAAGGATGTTTACCCTAGGGTTTTATTCAAACCTCACAGATTTGAATTTGACATAGAGAATGCATTCAATATGTGATGGCTATTATTATTTCTACTAATAACTCATAAACCAGTATTTATATACTACTTAGTAGAGATGTGATCTCTAATTTCAAGTAGTCTCATAGGTAGCAAAGATTAATAAACAGTCATATAAAATACCATAAATACTACAGTAGTGTGTTATGACCAAAAAGTAATCTGAATCAGAGAAGCCTTCCAGAGGCTTCTGGGGGGTGGGGCAAATCTAGGAAGAAAAAGCAACACTTGAGAGCAAGTACTTGATAGTAATCAAGGAATTAATTCCCATTTGGCTAAAGCATATAATGGAAAGAAATGAAAGTTAAATCATGGATCTTTTGAAACAAATTATGACCATATTATGAAGGATCTGGTAAAGCACTAGGGAATTTGGAGACATTATTATAAGGTAACATGAGGAGCCTCTGAAGGAAGGAAGGTACATAATTTGACTTGCATTTCTAAAAATTAACTACCCTGGGGATTATGGAATGGAGAGAGACCAGTGGTTTTGGTTTGGGATAGGAAAAAATAATTTCAAATGAATAAATTATAAGATTGGGATCAAGAAACCTGGAGAGTTTCACTGACAGTCAGAATGGGACAATATAGATTTAAAATTTAGGGTGAAATGTGAAATTGGAAATGTACCACAGATCTATTAATTTGTTTATTTGGGGGGTAAATCGATACATGAAATAAGTATGATTCAGGAAAGTGAGGTGTAAAAACTTGAAGGTGCCTGCTTTTGCATTAAACATTTTTTGGTACTATATTATATACTAAATATAAATAGTAGCCATGTTACAGAAAAATTTTCACTAGGTTGTCTTAACTGATTGAAATATTAATAACACTTCTGTATATTACTCAATACTCAAGCCTGGATAATTGGTAAAGAACAGGGATTGATTTGTTGCAGTTTTGGAGACTGAAAAGTCTAAGGTCAAGGGCCTGCATCTAGAAAGGGCCTTTGGTGGAACATGGTGGAAATCAGAGATCAAGAGAGCAGCCTTAAGCCATCCCTTTTTTTTTTTTTTTGGTAGAGTTTATTTTGACATATTTAAACAAACATGGAGTATGTCTTATTTAGTTAGGATCCCAGTTTTGTGGATGTAATGATATGGAGATTCACTGTGATGTATTCATATATGTACATAGGAAAAACATGTTAGATTCATTCCACTGTCTTTCCTTTCCCCGCTCCCTTCCCCTCAGAGCCCTTTGTCTAATCCCCTGTACTTCTATTCTTTCCCTCCCCTCCTTGTTGTGTGTTATCATCCACATATCAGAGAGAACATTCAACCTTTGATTTTTTGGGATTGACTTATTTCATGTAGCTTGATCGTCTCCAGATCTATACATTTACCAGCAAATGTCATAAAGTCATTCTTTTTTATGGCTGAGTATTATTCCATTGTGTACATATACCACATTTTCTTTATCCATTCATCTGTTGAAGGGCATCTAGTTTGGTTCCATAGTTTAGCTATTGTGAATTGAACTGCTATAAACGTTGATGTAACTGTCACCATATATTGGTCATTTGTATTTCTTCTGTGAAGTGTCTGTTCAGTTCCTTTTCCCATTTATTGATTGGGTTAATTGTTTTCTTGGTGGTGTTTTTGAGTTCTTTATATATCCTAGAGGTTAATGCTCTGAGGTGCAGATGGCAAAGATTTTCTCCCATTCTGTAGGCTCTCTCTTTATTCTATTGATTGTTTCCTTTACTGTGAAGAAGGTTTTTAGTTTGATACTATCCCATTTATTGATTCTTGATTTTACTTCTTGCGCTTTAAGAGTCTTGTTGAGCCTGTTCATTCCTAAGCCAACATGATCGAGTGTTGGGCCTACATTTGCTTCTAGTAGACACAGAGTTTCTCTTCTAATACCTAGATCCTTGAATTTTGTTCAGAGTAAGAGACAGAAGTTAAGATATTTTTCTGCTGCATATGGATTTCCAATTTTCCCAGCACATTTGTTGAAGAGGCTATCTTTTCTCCAATATATGTTTATGGCACCTTTGTCTAGTATAAGATAACTATATTTATGTGGGTTTGTTTCTGTATCTTCTATTTGTTCCATTGGTTTTTGTGTCTGTTTTGCTGCCAGTACCATGCTATTTTTGTTACTATAGCGCTGTAGTATAATTTAAGCTCTGGTATTGTTATGCCTCCTACTTAAGCCCTTTTATAATCAGCATTAATGCATTTATGAGGTGAAGCCCCTATGAACTTTATAAAACCATTCAAAGGCCACAACTTCCTATCCAGTTGCCTTGGGGATTAATTTTACACATGTGCTTTTTGGGGAACACATTCAGACCATAGCAGCTTTTCATCTAAAAGACTTTAAAGTGTAATTTTTAAAACCAAACCAAACCCCAGAACATCCTGTTAGTAAATCCTGTAATCAGGTGTTGGCAGATGTTTTCTTCAAAGGACCTAATGGTAAGTATAGTAGTCTACTCTTATTCATGGTTTTGTGTTCTGTGGTTTCAGTCATTCACAGTCAACTCTAGTCTGAAAATATTAAATGGAAAATGGCAGAAATAAACAATTCTTAAATTTTAGATTTTATGCTGTTTTTAGTATTATGAGGAAATCTTGTGCAGTCCCCTTCCTTCCTGCCTAGCATATGAAACATTTCTTTGTCTAGCAAGTCTAAACCATACGGGCAACACACCTGTCAATCATTTAGAAGCCATTTCTTAGTTATCAGAATGACTATTGCATATTGTAATTCTTATCTTCAAGTAACATTATTTTACTTAATACTGGCCCCAAAGTGCAAGAGTAGTGATGCTAACAATTTGGGTATGCCAGAGAAACCATAAAGTGCTTCCATTAAGTGAAGTTTTTCATCTTAAGGATTAAAAAACAAATTGTATGCTTAGGTTGCTAAGATCTGTAGCAAGAATGAGCTCCTGTCTGTGAAACTGTAAAGAAGGAAAAAGAAATTTATATATAGGAAAAAGCTAGCATATATAAGGTTTGCTGCTATCCTTGGTTTCAGGTGTTCACTGAGGATCTTGGAATACATCTCCCACGAATATCAAGAAACTACAATATTTTAGGCTTTGAGAGCCTCATAAGTTTTCAGTCATTTCACTATCACCACCATGTGTGAAAACTAGTCTTAGCTCAGGGCTATGTAGAAATCTGTCAGGGTTGGCCAGGGGTTGGCCAACCCCTTCTGTACAGTGTGATTATTTTACATTGTTTGATAAACTTTCTCAGTGGATTCTTAAAAAGCATTTTTAATGCAAAGTTATTCCAGTTTTTCTGTTTGTAGTGATAATTCAAAGAAAGTCAGTGATAGCCAATCATTTGTGTATCTTTTCTCTCCTCAAATCTCTGTATATTTAGGGGGAAGAAATTTTGGTTGAGAGTGGCTGTTCTAACATAATCAGTGACAGAGTCAGGACAAGGACATGTTTCTGTCTTTGGATTGAATATTTTTCCTGTTTTGTTGTGAAACCATTATGATGAAAATTCATAGCCCAGATATTTTAAGTAATTTTCTATTTATAATTTTAATGTAGCACAAATAATGATGATGCCTCCTAAAGCTATGAGGATTTGTAGAATTGTTAGATTTTCATTTTTATCTTTTTTTTTAATGAGAATAAAAGTAATGCAGTATTCTGAAGACAAGTCTCAGGACAAAGGGAAAGCAATTAACTTGAAGATTCCAAATTTAATTCAACCTTTTTCCTTTTCTAGGTACCTTTAAAGCAAGGCAGAAGTCTTATGGATTGGATTCGACTGTCCAAAAGTGGAAAGGACCTAACAGGATTAAAAGGCAGGTTAATTGACGTAACTGAAGAAGAACTTAAGAAACACAACAAAAAAGAAGATTGTTGGATATGCATAAGAGGTAGGTGGTAGTTATTAAATAACTTAAAAAATGTGCTGGATTTTCCTTTTGTTATAACATATCATACATAGTCTTATTATTTGGTGATCAGATTCAGAATTAGAAAACAAAAATATGCCCATACTGGGCAATAAATAATATTGTTCTGGCCTTGGACAGTGTTCTTTCTTTATGCAACTGTTTACATTTTGATGCAGAAAGTTTCTGAAATGAAACTCCCCCCCCCCCCACATCCCCATATTCTGTTCCCTTTGAAAGGAAACAAGTGTTGGCTAGGCAGTTTAATGCCAAAGGTAAAATTATTCAGTAGCACACAGTTTATACAGTCTCAGAGACTCTAAAGGAAATCAGAAGGCCTACATTAAAGCCAAATATTTAGTTCTCATTTACAGCAAATTTTATTACTTAATGTATGTGGCAATATTAGTTTCCTGTTTTTTCTAGCTCATAGTAACTTAGAAGCTCCAAAATAGTTGAAGAAATGAGCTGAGAGGTGTAGCTGATGAAAACAGAACTCATGGTAACCAACAATCTGGCGTCTCGGAGAGACAAAAGTATAGTAATAGATACAGTGAACCTGTACATCCAGTCTCCACAGTGATGTTCTTGAGACACTCAGACATACTAAACATCTACTGTTTTATTCAGATTTTTCGCTGTTGTGACTAAAGGATTGGACCAGAATAATTTTAGGAGAGGAAAAGTTTATTTGAGGGCTCATGGTTTCAGAGGTCCTAGTCCATAGAAGGCTGGCTCCATTCCTAGGAATTTGAGTTAAGGCTGAGCATCACAGTGGAAGAGTGTGGCAGAGGGAAGCAGCTTACATCATGATCCACTGAGTGATGTGGACCGTGAGTGGTAACTGAAGGCTGGTAGGGTGTGGCTGGAGGAGGTGAGAATTAGGGAGTGGCTTTGAGGTATGTTACCCCAAAGGGTCTCTTAACCCAGTCATTTCACCTCTGAACCTTCTTGCATTGTCTTATGTGAACTTTAGGGGGACACTTTACATCCAAACCATAACACTACTAATACCCTCTGTTTAAAGGGGAAGGATTACCAGTAATTTCTAATGTAATCCCAAATGAAAGTAAAAGAAAATATGTGACTAAATGTAATTGTCCTTTTCTTCATAGCTGTTATAATTTTTAAAAATTGTGGGGGTTCTGTTGAGCAAGTTGCCCTTTTCATGAATTCCCTTACCATTTACCATAGATTTTTATTTTCACCTTTTTTTTTTCATTCTGTGAAAATGAAGTATGTTATCACTTATCCATTTAACTCTATGGCTTCCAAAACTTCATTGCTGTCATTTCATTTTCTGACTTCTGTGTCTCTGTGGATTTACATCTTATTTATCCCTAACATTTATTTTAGAAAGTTTTCAGGAGTATGGAAAATAAATGAATGCTTTTAAATCCAGAAGTCCTAAGATACTCTACCACCCAGTAACTTTCACAAATCTACCTTTTAGTTATTTTTCTTTAAAATTACTTTAAATTCTTGAGAAATCCATTTATTTTTCATTAGTTTCTTTTCCATATGTTTCCATTGAAATTGGCAAAAGTTATACCGTTTTTCTAAAATAACATGCAGAGTTATATTTAGTTATAGCTGATTAGCTTCTATTGGACCAACACTCCAGCAACCTCAGGACAAAATATAAAAAGAAAAATTTATGGGGCTGGAGATGTGGCTCAAGTGGTAGCACGCTTGCCTGGCATGCATGTGGCCCGGGTTCGATCCTCAGTACCACATACAAAGATGTTGTGTCCACTGAAAACTAAAAATAAAAATAATAAATAAATATTAAAAAAAAGAAAAATTTATCTAAAGACCTGGTGAGCAACCGAAAGTGGATAGAAACTAGAGGACGAGGACCATTTGTATTTAGTAGAAGGGAATGTCCCTGTGTAAGTTTCCTGTTTCTTATGGCATTTAATTAGAGGTTAAGTCTGAGTGTTAATGCCATGAAATGTGGATAAAACTCAGATGGAGACTGGCTTAAAGAACTAGAAGACAGAGATTGGGGTATTTGCAATAAGTAGAAAGTGAAGGAGAAGATTCAAAGAAAGAAGGATCCAGAGAAGAATATAAACCATTTCTTGCATATATGACAGACTATAAGTAGCCCCAAAGCTAAAACATTGAAGAAAGCTTTAAATTTTCAATTTCCCAAATGGGAAAGAGTTTGAGTTTGGATCTAGTCAATTTCCTACTAAAACAGAATTTGTTGGAGGAATATAACAGAATCTAGAGTTTCTACTATCTTATCCAAAGTTACTAAACACACTGAAGAGAAAAGGCATACTGGAGATGATACAGGTGTTTGAACTTAATTCACAAGAATTTTAAAGTACATATTATAAGTATACAAAGAAGTAAAAGAATGTATGTATAAAATGAATAAATAGGATATCTCAGAGAAATAGCAATTATAAAAAATGAACATCTAGAACCAAAAATTAGCATATATGAATTTAAAAAAAAATTTGATATTTGGTTTTATAGTAGTTTGGAGGTGATATAAGGAAGATTTAGTGAACTTTCAGATAGATAAGAGGATTATCCAATCTGAAGAACAGAGAGGAACACAATTAGACAGTCTCAGAGACTTATCAGAGAAGATAAAAATGTCTAATATATATGTATAGAATTCCAGGAGGAGGAAAAGAATGAGAAAAATATTTGAAGAATAGAGGCCAAATATTTCACAAATTTGAAGAAATGCATAAAATTGTGAATTTAGAAGCTTAGCAAATCCAAACATGGTCAAAAGAAAGCAAATCACATCTAGGCACATCCATTTGCTGAAAGTCAAAGAGAAAATCTTGAAAGTAGTCAGAGAAAACATACCAAGAAACAATAAAATGACTGCTGAGGAAAAATATGGTACCATCAACTCTGAATTTTATATTCACAAAGATACAGAATTCTTTTTGAGGCTAAGTTGAAATAAGAAGTTTTTAAACTGAGAATTTATTACCAGCTAACTTGCACTATAAGACATGCTTTCAGTTTGAAAGATAGTGATTTCCGATGACAGCTCAAGAAGTCAGGAAATGGTATTTGTTATGGTTTGGATGTGAGATATCCCCCAAAAGCTCACATGTGAAACAGTACAAGAAAGTTCAGAGGAGAAAGGATCAGGTTTTAAAAGTCTTAACCCAATCAGTGATTTAATCCCATGATAGTGATTAATGAGTGGTAACTGAAGTGGTATGGTGTGGCTGGAGGAGGTAGGAATTGAGGCATGGCTTTGGGTATATATTTGTATCTGGCCAGTGGAGTCTCTCTCTGCGTTCTGATCGTCATATGAGCTGATTTCCTTTGCCACACTCTTCTGCCATGTTGTTAACGTGTGTCTTACCTCAAGCCCTGAGGAATGGAGCCAGCTGTCTATGAATTGAGACCTCTGAAACCATGAGCCCTCAAATAAACTCTTCCTTCTCAACAGTTGTGCTTGGTGGGGTCATTTCATCTCAGCAGTGAAAAAGTTGACTAAAACAGTGTTTGCATAAGAGAAAAGATTACATTTTACTTTCTTCACTATTAAAGAATATATGACTGTTTAAAGCAAAAGTTATTACATTGTATTGTGGACTTACATAAGAAGCAGAAGTCACCAGGACAGGGAAGATATTTAGCAAAGAAATTTAAGAGGGAAAAAATATAATAAAGTTAGTTTAGTGATAAATTTTTAGTATAATTTTTTGATACCCGTGTAAAAGTGAATTCTGTAAATAATGATATGGGTGGGTTTAAGGGAAGAAAGAATTTTTGGGCTCTGGTTTGTCTTTAGAACTCTGCAAGGGGTCTGCAAGGGGCATTGCTGGCTAGTTCCTGAGTGGTAATGATTCATGTCTGGGGATGGTGGGCAAAGCGTATTTTTTCCATATTGCAGAATAAAGCCCTGCTTCCTGATGTCAAAAAAAAAAAAAAAAAAGAATAGGCGATAGGGCTGAGGGTTGTGGCTCAGTGGTATAGCACTTGCCTAGCACATGTGAGGCACTGGGTTCAATCTTCAGCACACATAAAATAAATAAGTAAATAAATAAAGGCATTGTATTCATCTACAACTTAAAAAAAAAGAATAGGGGATAGAGAGCAGTAAACATGAATTTACACATGAAGTGGTATAATATTAATTCATAAGTAAGCAAGTAAAAGTTCTGGATATATGCTATAATTTTTAAAACAGTTATTAAAAATAATGCAAAGAGATAAGGCTAAATTAAATTCTATAGAAAATTGGTTAACTTAAAATAAGGAAGGGAGAGGAACAGAGACAGAAAATTTAGGGACTGGGGAATTAATAAAAAGGTAGATTCAAATTCATCTATAATAGTTAATCTACATGTAAATGGACCAAGTGCTCTAATTAAAAGGTAGAGATTGTCTATGTTGCGTGTGTGTCTGTTCATGTTATCAGGACCTGTCTGCAAAATGTCTATAAGAGATATACTTTAGGGCTGAGGATGTGGCTCAAGTGGTAGCGCGCTTGCCTAGCATGCATGAGGCACAGGGTTCGATTCTCAGCACCACATAAAAATAAAATAAAGATGTTGTGTCCACCTAAAACTAAAAATAAATAAATAAATAAATAAATAAATAAATAAATAAAGAGGTACACTTTAGAGATACAGATAACTTACAGATTAAGTTGAAAGTTACAGATAAGTTGAAACAAAATGTGTAGAAAAATGTATATTATCTAGACAGGAAGTAAAAGTTTGATTTGATCTGACTGGTTGGATTATATTAATATCAGATAAAAAGTATTAACAAGGACAAGAATTTTAACAAATATGGAAGTTTTGTAATGATGAAAAGAGTTCTTAGTGCTTTTATGTGTCAACAGAGCTTCAAAATATATAAAGCAAACATTAGCAGAATTGAGGGAGAGAATTAAAAATCTTCAGTTATAGTTGTAGATTTTTCTGAGCAATTGTTGTAATTAGATAAATATCAGTAGACATAATGAAAATAATGTGCAGTTTCTT